TTTAAAAGAATAATAATGCATATGAATGAATACTACATTTGATTTTAGCATGGTGTCCAGAGTATGACAGATATCCTGTAAATGCCAACAGAAGAGGAATAAATACACTGGCCACACAACAACGTTTCTTTTTTATAAATAATTTTAACAGAAAAACTCAGGAATAAATCTCTCTTTAGAAAAGGTAAAGAAGCACCTTTAGAAGCACCTGGACTTCCTACAGAAGACTTTCCTACAGAGAAACTATTGTTTCCTTGAAACAATAGTTCTCAACTGGGAGCAATTTTGCCCCCAGGCAACACTTGGCTATGTCTGGAGACATTTTTTTTTTTTTGAGACAGAGTCTCACTTTGCGGCCCAGGCTAGAGTGAGTGCCGTGGCATCAGCCTAGCTCACAGCAACCTCAAACTCCTGGGCTCAAGCAATCCTCCTGCCTCAGCCTCCCAAGTAGCTGAGACTAGAGGCATGCGCCACCATGCCCAGCTAATTTTTTTTCTAGATATGTTAGTTAGCCAATTAATTTATTTCTATGTATAGTAGAGATGGGGTCTCGCTCTTGCTCAGGCTGGTTTCGAACTCCTGACCTAGAGCAATCCGCCCGCCTGGGCCTTCCAGAGTGCTAGGATTACAGGCGTGAGCCACTGCACCCGGCCTGGAGACATTTTTGATTGTTACAATTGGGGAAGTACTACTGTCATCTAGCAGATAAAGGACAAGAATACTGCGAAAAATCATATAGTGCACATAACAGCCCCATACAACAAAGAACCATCTGGTCCAAAATGTCAACAAGCTGAGTGCAGTGGCTCTCTCGCCTATAATTCCAGTACTTTGGGAGGCTGAAGCAGAAAGATCGCTTGAGACCAAGAGTTCGAGACCAGCCTGGGCAACATAGCGAGACCCCATATCTACAAAAAATTTAAAAATTAGTCGGGCATAGTGGCATATACCTATAGGCCTAGCTACCCTGGAGGCTGATGCAGGAAGATTGCTTGAGCCCAGAAGTTTGAGGTTGCAAAGAGCTACAATCAAGCCATTGCACTCCAGCCAGCGCAACAGAGCAAAATCTTATCTCAAAAAATAAAAAAGTCTGGCCGGGCGCTGTGGCTCACGCCTGTAATCCTAGCTCTTGGGAGGCCGAGGCGGGCGGATTGCTCAAGGTCAGGAGTTCAAAACCAGCCTGAGCGAGACCCCGTCTCTACTATAAATAGAAAGAAATTAATTGGCCAACTGATATATATATAAAAAAATTAGCCGGGCATGGTGGCACATGCCTGTAGTCCCAGCTACTCGGGAGGCTGAGGCTGGAGGATCGCTTGAGCCCAGGAGTTTGAGGTTGCTGTGAGCTAGGCTGACGCCACGGCACTCACTCTAGCCTGGACAACAAAGCGAGACTCTGTCTCAAAAAAAAAATAAAAATAAAAAAGTCAATAATGTCTTGTTGAGAAACCGTGTTTTAAAACACATACACACATAACCCCACCCCCAACAACAAAATAATAAAAACTTTTAGAACATGAGGGAGAATCAATTATATGGGCTCCCTACCCCTGTTGATATGTTATTTTCACGAAATATTAAAGCTGGTTTACAGAAGAATAAAGCACTGCTGGTTATCACTGCCACAGCCCCGTGACCTATTGCAATACTTGGTCATGGGTCCCTCTAGTTTTTTACACATCTGTCATCATAATGTATCTATTTCATTTTTCATGTTGTTTCTATATATTTTCCGTGTTCCTAGGAGGTCTTTTTTGTCAAACTGATTGTAAGCCATTTGAGGACACTCAATTTTTTAAGGGGTTAAATTTTTTTTTCTAAATATCTGTTCCATGTTCCACTTAGCCCATAATCTGTGTTTTCACCTAAGGTACAGTGATATATGTTTCTCATGTGAAATTTTTAAAAATGAACTTGTCTTGAAAACAACAACAACAACAAAAAATCCCTTTAGAAAATTATAGAAGCTCTTGGAACTTTATTACTCAGAATTTTTTACTTTATTTCCAGCAATCTTTTATCAGGTATTCAAAATCTCAAAGTATAACGACCTTGTCTTTAGTCTACCAAATTTTCCTGTGGTTAGTCTCCTCTCAGTCAAATTTTAAAATAATTTATAGCAAAGCAAAACAAAACAAAACAAAAATACCTTTGAAGGTCTGCATTTAAAATATGAAGTATTTTTACCTCCATAAAACCCAAGATTATTCCATTCTCTGAGTCCCCATTGTACCTGGCACCCTCAGGTCTTTTAGCCTTCATGGTGACTACTAAATAATGATCAGGTTTACATGTTTCTTTACCCACTAGACTGTGAGCACCTCAAGGGCAGGCAAACTTGTTAACCTTTGTATTTCCGGCCCCTAGACCAGAGCCTGGCTCGTGATAGATGTCAATAGATATTTGTAGAATGCATTAACAACAGGCTAAGTTCTTGCTGAATTGTGGTCAACATTATAAGGTTTAGCATTTATTTGTCTCTGATATCTTCCTGTGTCCACTGTGTTCTCTCTAGGTGTTTTGGGTATGTCCGTTTCAGGCCATGAGCAAAGAACCCAAGGGTGGAAACCACAGTTTATACTTCTACTATAATTTTTACTGATTATGAATTTGTAAAAGTGCTACATTAGCCTCCAGGAGGACATTATTCTCATGTCCAAAGAGCGGGAAAATGTGAGCAAGATACCTATATCTTTAGGTACCTATTCAGGTGTCCCTGACAGGCCATCAAATTACCCTGGTCTCACAGGCCCAACCTTCAAAAGAAGTGAATTGGAAGACTATTTAGAGGGAGCTTCCCCAATCATGGACTTCCTTATCTTCTTTTTCCTTCTTCCATTCATACTGAAGCATATTGCTTTGAATTATGTTAAGTTCTTTTTAAATTTTTATTTCCTGATTTTTCCAAATATATAATTGGAAATAAAATATGTTTTAATGGAGAGACAGAAAGATAGATGCTGTAAGTCTGATGTTTCGTGAGTGTGCTGGATGTAAAAGGAGTAAGTCAGGGAATAACACGAATTCTTATTATCTGGTAAAAAATTGAATATATAGGCCGGGCGCTGTGGCTCACGCCTGTAATCCTAGCTCTTGGGAGGCCGAGGCGGGCGGATTGCTCAAGGTCAGGAGTTCGAAAAACCAGCTGGAGCAAGAGCAACCACCCTGGTTCTACTATACAAGAAAGAATAATTGCAACTAAATACATATACGAATAAAAGGCGGGCATGGTGGCACATGCCTGTATCCCCAGCTACTTTGGAGGTGAGCAGAGGATTGCATTGAGCCCAGGGTTTGGGGTGCTGTGAAGCTAGGGCTGACGCCACGGCACTCTAGCCCGAGCAATAAAGCAAGGACTCCTGTCTCAAAAAACAAAACAACAAAAAAAAAAACATCTTCAGGGATATCACATGAGGACACTGGGCAAATATATCTAAGAACTCTTAAACAACAGTTTACGCCATCACCATTCCTTAACAGGAAGTTAGGTTTGCCAGGTTGTTTCTTTTTTTTTTTGTGAGACAGAGTCTGCTTTTTGCCTAGGTAGAGAGAGGCCTTGCTCCAGCCTAGTCAACAGCAACCACCTCCACAAACTCCGGGCTCAGCGATCCTCTGCTCAAGCTCCCGAGTAGCTGGACTATCAGCATAGCACACCATGCCCCGCAATTTTTTTCTATATATATTAGTTGGCCAATAATTCTCTATTTATAGTAGAGATGGGGTCTCGCTCTTGCTCAGGCTGGTTTTGAACTCCTGACCTCGAGCAATCCGCCCGCCTCCGCCTCTGCCAGGTTGTTTCTAAAGAAAGTTCACAATTTGGAATCTGAATGTTAATTATTCTCTTGCTTATCTTCCCAAGCTCTTGTGCTACTGGATAAAGCCTATTACTTTTGTTACCTTCCACATTTTGTGGAAGCTGCAAGGTTGCATAATGAATGTAGTTAAGGTTAAGATGAGGACTTTGATCACCATTTTATTATTCCACTTGAGAGAGGAAAGAATTGTAAAAATGAATCAGTAAACAATATTCATCTACCTTAGTAAAACCTCAGCCCTTCTCCATCGTTATTGCACACTGGAATCACTTGGGGGAGTTTTAAAAAACAGTGCTGCCTGGGTCCCACCCCCAGAGAATCTGTTGTAATTGGTCTGGGATACATCCCGGCCGTAGGAATTTTTTTAAGCTCCTTGGGTGCTTTTCATGTACAGGCCAAGTTGACATTCTCTGACCTAGAAGGCCCCAGTGCACACTCTGCCCAACTCAGTATGACTTATTTAAGATCATCAATTGCTACTGTCTTCATGAAATAATTCTCAGATAATCTGCTTTTGTGTTAACTGCTCTGACTGGAAGAGTACCTTACCTTATTTCCTACTTTCCAGGGACCAACACAAAGCTCCTAAGGTCAAAGAATATTTAACCACCCTGTTAATATTTATCCTAATCAAAAAGCCATTTCAAAAATGAGACTTTCAGTAAGTTCTTTGTATGTAATAGCTTAATTCCTTCTACCTTACTACTTAATCACTTAAATTCTTTAGAAAAATGTTTCTTTTTTTGATCCTGAAAAGAATTTCTAATGGTCTGAGCTACAGGTAAGGTTAAAGATAACCAGCTTGGATCCATCATGCTAAGTGTAATATCAGCCATGTCTAGTCACTCAAAACTCATTTCATTCTCTTCAACATTTGGTGCTAACTAAATGAAAATCTGAGGGCTAAAAGGGAACCCTAGTTCTTTTTTAAAATTAGGTCTAGTTCTTCTGTTTATGAATCTTCATTTCTTTGGACTGAACCTAATATAAGCGTTCTCATCACATAATTTGGTCCAAATCAACTTGCATAGCTGAACATTACTGATATCACGACAAAGAACATAAATCAAAAAGGTAAACAAACAGGTGGCACTGGTTTGGTTTTTTTAAAAAGAATTAACTGGTTCTACAGGAATTTATTAGAATAGAATTTCAGGTGCTGCACTTTAAAACACAAGCACTTACATTTTCTATGAGGCAAACAGCAGCAGGATTCCCACGAAATGCTCTTGCTGTGAATGCATCCGCTATGAAAATCGGGAGCTTCATTTTCCTTGCAAGCTGTTTTTGCAAACTCTCCGAATTGCTGGTGGCCTGCTTTACTTCCTGTTGTTGCCAAAAGTCAAAGAGTTAATGTTTTACTTGATATACAGAACCAATTAATAGTTCCAAAACACAGAGTCAAGCAAATTATTCTAACACACCTACATTTAAAGATATGTAATTCCTCATTTTTTAAGCCTCTTAATTGAATTTGTTTTAAACTATTGCCTAAATGGAATTTTTTTTCAAATTTTGTATTGACTTTTCACACTGTACATAGAACATAGCAGCATAATCGTATTCTTCCTTAGAGTAGCCCAAACTAGCTAAGGCTCTTTTTAAAGAAGTGCATGACACATCCAAGAGGCTTGTATGTTACTGACAGTCTCTCAGTGAAGGTTATTTTCCCTTTAAATAATTAAAGGTTATTTAACCTTTAAATAAAAGGTTATTTTCCCTTTTCCCTTTAAAAGAGTGCATTTTTTCTAATTTAAAAATATACTTATTATAAAAAACTTGGGAAATAGTAAAATGACCTATAACCACATAAATTTGTAATAACATTAGTAATGTTTTTAGATGTACAGTATTCTATCAGAATTTTTACTCCTTTAACAGTATAGTCTGCCTTCTGTATCCTCAAGGGATTGTTTCCAAGACTCCTTGCAGATAGCAAAATTCTCAGACAATCAAGTCCCTTTTATAAAGTATTGTAAATGTAAGATCAACTGTATAGCATCAGTATTTTCCAAGGACACCAAATGCTTCTAATCATCATTTTAGTAGATTTACAATAGGCTTATAGATATGCTGTAAGTTATTTAACTATATCCCTTTGGGCAAGTTTTAAAGTCATTTTTAATTTTTCAATTGTAAAGATAATGTAGTGACCAAACTTGTTCAATGTAAATCTAGACCTGTGTTTCTGATTTTTTAATTATAATAGATTCCTAAAAGTGAAATCCTTGGCTTAAAGTATATAGGTATTTTACACAAACAGTTAAAGTTAGGTAATTTACACAAACTGTTAAATTTATCTGCAGAAGTATACCAATTTAGACAGTGTATGAGAGCATCCCACCATTGCTAATCTGATAAATAAAAAATATCGAGTTTTCATTTGCATTTCTTAGATTATTCTAATCAGACTGTAAAAGCATAAATTCAGAATCTCTTCTTGTTTTTGTCTTTTGAGACAGGGTCTCTGTCACCCAGGCTAGAGTACAGTGGCATCATCATAGCTCACTATAACTTCAGGCTCCTGGGCTCAAGTGATTCTCCTGACTCAGCCTCCTGAGTAGCAGGGACTACAGGTGTGCACCATCACACCTGGCTAATTTTTCCTATTTTTAGTAGAGACAGGGTCTCGCTCTTGCTCAGGCTGGTCTTGAACTCCAGCAATCCTCCTGCCTCAGCTTCCCATAGTGCTAGGATTACAGGTGTGAGTCACCGCACTCAGCCATCTCTTCTTGTTTTTCTTCACAGCTATAATCTCAGCTCCTAGGGCAGTGCCTGACACGCAATAAATATTTATTGAATTAACTAAATAATAGTATAATGAGCATACATCAAACCTTGAGTTTCATACATTGGCTGAAAAATATTAGGATTTCTTATCATGCCAGCCGACATTTCCGTTTCAGTAGCATCACCATTATTGATAGTACATTATACTTTGTTTATACAATTATTTGGAAATTTTCTTTTTTCCTGAAAAAACCTACAATTTTGCTTGGGAGCAATGCATCAAGCCCTAGACAATGAATTATAAATGTTCTAAGTCAGTCAGGACAGTCTCATTCTCCTTTGCCAGATGCTCACTCTTCTTTTATAGCTCGAGATGGCAGTATGACCCAGTCAGGGAAAGATTGCTAGGGGGATTCAGGGGAAAATATTTTGCCTTCTGATAAAAGGAGAAGACCAGGAGTTCAAGACCAACCTGAGCAACACAGCAAAACCCTGGCTCTACAAAAAAAAAACCAGAAAAATTAGCTGGACATGGTGGTGTGTGCCTGTGGTCCCAGTTGTTTAGGAGGCTAAGGCAGTAGGACTGCTTGAGCTCAGATGTTAGAGGTCACTGTGAGCTATGATGATGCCATTGCACTCTAGCCCAGGCAACAGAGGGAGAACTTGTTTCAAAAAATTAATTAAGGCTGGGCTCGGTGGCTCACACCTGTAATCCTAGCACTCTGGGAGGCCTAGGCTGGTGGATTGCTTGAGGTCAGGAGTTCAAAACCAGCCTGAGGACGGGCATGGTGGCTCACGCCTACAATCCTAGCACTCTGGGAGGCTGAGGTGGGAGGATTGCTCAAGGTCAGGAGTTCGAACCAGCCTGAGTGAGACCTTGTCTCTACCAAAAATAAAAAGAAATTAATTGACCAACTAAAAATATATATACAAAAAATTAGCCGGGCATGGTGGCACATGCCTGTAGTCCCAGCTACTCGGGAGGCTGAGGCAGTAGGATCCCTTGAGCCCAGGAGATTAAGGTTGCTGTGAGCTAGGCTGATGCCATGGCACTCACTCTAGCCTGGGCAACAAAGTGAGACTCTGTCTCAAAAACAAAAACAAAAACAAAAACAAAACCAGCCTGAGCAAGCGAGCCCCCGTCTCTGCTATAAATAGAAAGAAATTAATTGGCCATCTAATATATATAGAAAAAATTAGCCAGGCATGGTGGCGCATGCCTGTAGTCGGGAGGCTGAGGCAGCAGGATTGCTTGAGCCCAGGAGATTGAGGTTGCTAGGCTGACGCCACGGCATTCACTCTAGCCTGGGCAACATGAGACCCTGTCTCAAAAAAAAATTTATTAATTTTTATTAATTAATTAATAAATTAAAAGGGGGTAGACCTAAGGCAAGAATAGACTGCCACCATCCCTTCGCCTTTTCCTGTGTTGAACATGTTCCTGATGCACAGAAATTCAACAATCATCTTTCAAACCATGAGGCAACAAATATGAAGATGAAAAGTTAAAAAGCTAGGTAAGGGAGACAGAGTATGGTTCTTGATGATATAGATATTCTGCTAAATAAATATTAGAAGCTCTCACCTCCAAACTTGTTTAGTAAATAATATATGTCCTTAAGTTCAAACTATTGTTAGTCCATGTGGTAGCCAGAATAACGGCTCCCCAAAGATGTCCGCATCCTAATTATCCTGTGAATATATTTTGTTACATGGCAAGGAGGAAGTAAGCTTGTAGGTGGGATTAAGGTTGCTAATGAATTGACCTTAAAATAAAAAGTGTTCTGGATTACCCAGGTGAGCCCAATGTAATGACAGGATCTTTAAAAGTGGAAGAGGGAGGCAGGCAAGTCCAAATCAGGGAGTGATTTGAAGATGCTATGCTTCTGGCTTTAAAGATAGAGAAAGGAGCCACAAACCAAGGAGTGCACATGATCTTTAGAAGTTAGAAAAAGTAAAGAAAAATATTCTCTCCTAGAGCCTCCAGGAAGAGCAAATCTATATTATTCAGCTCAGGATGCCATAACAAAATACCATAGACTGGGTGGCTTAAACAACAGAAACTTATTAGCCAGGCATGGTAGCACACACCTGTAGTCCCAGTTGCTTGAGAGGCTGAGGATCACTTGCACCCAGGAGTTTGAGGTTGCAGTGAGCTAGGCTGATGCCATAGTACTCTAGCCTGGGTGACAGAGGAAGACTCTGTCAAGAAAAAGAAAAAAGAAGGGGAGAGGGAGAGGGAGAGGGAGAGGGAGAGGAGGAAGGAAGGAAGGAAGGAAGGAAGGAAGGAAGGAAGGAAGGAAGGAAGGAAGGGAAGGAAAAGAAAGAGAGAAACTAATACAGTCTAATATTCTGTTACTTGCAGCCCAGTACAGTCCTAATTGCTGCATAAACCTCCCGAAAAAATAATAGTTAATACTTACTGAGCAAGTGCTAGATATGATTTAAGAGCATTTAATTCTCAGAGTATTTAATCCACAGAGCATGCCTAAGATAGATACTACTATAATCTCCACTTTACAAATGATGAAGACTCAGAAAATTTAAGTAAGTTGCCCAAGGTCACACATTGAGGCAGTGCTTAAATTTGAACCCACATAGTCTAACTCCAGAATCCATGATCTTAAACATTATGCCTTAGAGTATATCCAAGGATGAGGGTTTGAGAAACTCTCACTTAAGGAACCAAAATCTTAGTTCCAGGACATGGTAAATTATCACTGCATAAGAAAAATTTTAAGTGTTAGAATAATTTTTTAGACCATCCTTGAAGTAAAAACTCAGGATTTAAAAATTATTTTAGAATTTTGGACACCAAAGAATACTAAGACTCTGGTACAAGAAACACTAGAAAACTGTATTGCTTTATGTATGAAAAATGAACAAGATTAATTTTTTGTTAAGTGAAAGTAGTTGACCAAGTGTAAGTTTCTTAAGTATTTTTATTTGTTCTGGAACAGTGGTTCTCAATCTTGAGCATGAATCAGAATCACCTGTGGTGATTGCTGGACTCCATGCCCAGAGTTTCTGATTTTGCAGGTCTCAGGCATGGTACAAGAATTTACATTTCTAACAAGTTCCCAGGTAATACTGACATTGCATTTGGAAAACTACTATAAGAGCATGAAAGTTCTCACATCATAAATGTATAAAAAAAATTTCTAAAATGTATTATATTATTTTATTTCAATTTGTATTCTCAGTCAAAAATTAGAGAAAGGACATCTTTCTTAAAAACATCCATTTCAGGCCAGGCATGGTGGCTCATGCCTATAATCCTAGCACTCTGGGAGGCCGAGGCAGGTGGATTGTTTGAGCTCAGGAGTTCGAGACCAGCCTGAACAAGAGTGAGACCCTGTCTCTACTAAAAATACAAAGAAATTAATTGGCCAACTAAAAATATATAGAAAAAATTAGCCAGGCATGGTGGCACATGCCTGTAGTCCCAGCTACACGGGAGGCTGAGGCAGGAGGATCGCTTGAGCCAGGAGTTTGAGGTTGCTGTGAGCTAGGGTGACACCACAGCACTCTAGCCGGGGCAACACAGTGAGACTCTGTCTAAAAAAAAAAAAAAAAAACCATCCACTTCACATAAT